GTTATCAGATAAAGAGTTAGTATCCAAAATTTATACAGAACTCACCAAACTCAACACCCCCCCCAAAAAAAATAATCCAGTGAAGAAATGGGCAAAAGACATGAATAGACACTTCTCCATAGAAGACATCCAGATGGCCAAGCGACACATGAAAAAACACTCAACATCACTCATCATCAGGGAAATACAAATCAAAACCACAACGAGATACTACCTCACACCTGTCAGAATGGCTAACATTAACAACTCAGGCAACAACAGATGTTGGTGAGGATGCGGAGAAAGAGGATCTCTTTTGCGCTGCTGGTGGGAAGGCAAACTGGTGCAGCCACTCTAGAAAACAGTATGGAGGTTCCTCAAAAAATTAAAAATAGAACTACCCTATGACCCAGCAATTGCACTACTAGGTATTTATCCAAGAGATACAGGTATGTGTTTTGAAGGGACACACGCACCCCAATGTTTATAGCAGCACCATCAACAATAGCCAAAGTATGAAAAGAGTCTAAATGTCCATCGATGGATGAATGGATAAGGAAGATGTGGGATACAAACACAATGGAGTATTACTCGGCAATCAAGAAGAATGAAATCTTTCCCTTTGCAACTATGTGGATGGAACTAGAGGGTATTATGCTAAGCAAAATTATTCAGAGAAAGACAAATATCATATGACTTCACTTACATGAGGACTTTAAGATATAAAACAGATGAACATAGGGAAGCAAAAATAACATAAACACAGGGAGGGGGACAAAACAAGAGACTCTTAAATACAGAGAACAAACAGAGGGTTGCTAGAGGGGTTATGGGAGGGGGGATGGGCTAAATGGGTAAGAGGCATTAAGGAATCTACTCATGAACACACTGTTGCATTCTATGCTAACTTGGATGTAAATTATAAAAAATAAATAAATTATAGAAAAAAAAACTATAGATGATTCTGGCCTCCCACCTCCCATCTCCCCCCACCCTCTCCACCCCCCACCAAATTCTGATTTAATGTGTAGCCAGGATAAGAACCACTTTAAGTCACATTAAATATTTTTGAAGGCAGGTAAAATATAAATCCTATATAAATTTAAAATTACATACAGGCTTGACCTTATAAAAGCTTATAAAGATTTAAAGATTAAAAAATTTCTATAACTGTTATCCTGACATAGAAACTATATAAGTAAATTATTAGGGACTTCTAAACAATTTTAAGATAGTGTTCAGCTGGCTAGTTGAGAGAAACAAATTATCAGGTCTCAAAAATCAATCAGCACTACAGATAATCAAGTTCTTTACAAAAACAGACAAACTAGCTGTTAAGAACCTCCATTCTACCCAATTTATGGATAGATATTGAGCTTGCTCATGATTAAAATCACTTTCCTAATCTCTTTTAAGGCACTCTTTTTTTTTTTTTTTTTTTTTAAGTAGGCTTCACACCCAGCCTGGAGTCCAGTGCTGGGCTCAAACTCATGACCTGAGATCAAGACCTGAGTTGAGATCAAGAGTCAGATGCTTAACCAACTGAGCCACCCAGGTGCCCCAACAGAATTTTTTTTTTTTAAGGCAATCTTGTTTGAATTTGGAATTTATGATTCCCAACTTTCTTTCTTGCTCTTCCTAAATTATCAGCTATAAAAGAAATTTTTAAAAACTTAATAAAATGATTCCTAACTTCAGGATTATTTTCCTGAAGTATAAAATATGAAACATTAATAAAAATGTCCTAGGAGAAGGTAACCCTAAGGTTATTTTTCAATGGAGAAAGCAAAGGGTCTCTGTTAACCTTTTATCACTTATGTAAAAAGCCTTATTAGGGGCGCCTGGGTGGCGCAGTCGGTTAAGCGTCCGACTTCAGCCAGGTCACGATCTCGCGGTCCGTGAGTTCGAGCCCCGCGTCGGGCTCTGGGCTGATGGCTCAGAGCCTGGAGCCTGTTTCCGATTCTGTGTCTCCCTCTCTCTCTGCCCCTCCCCCGTTCATGCTCTGTCTCTCTCTGTCCCAAAAATAAATAAAAAACATTTGAAAAAAAAAAAATTAAAAAAAAAAAGCCTTATTAAACAATGACATCATTATTATTACTATTATTATTGCTTCTTGAGAGCCTTCCCGATCCTCTAATATATTCTAGAGTGTTCAAGTTATACTCCAACAGAAGGTCATCCACAAAATAATTCTTAAAGTATAAAACACTTTTATAGTGATACTACTATCACTTACAGAAATTTTTGAAGGTGGCGTTATATCCAAAGAGTAATCCATCTCCTGTGTGCTAAGAGCTCTGAGTGACAGTGAGCATTCTCCAATGGTTTTCTTCCTGGGTGTCTGGGTTTGAATCTTAAATACAAGCCTTACGGTTTGTAGACTTTGGAGTTTAATAGCAAATACAAAAGTTTCCATAAATTCAATACTCTAAAAAAAAAATGCAGGAAAATAATATAAAATATATAAATAAAAGGACAGAAAAAGAGATGATATGGCAATAACAAAGAAATGAAAATAACATTTTGTAATCTAGGAAAGGAAGATCTAATTTTTTACAACAAAAAAATATCTTTCAGTGTAAATTAAGATGACAATGACCATGAGTTGTTTTTCCAGAATTTATCCTGGATACTGCCTTTCTAAATGTCACAAATTATCTATCTATCTATCTATCTATCTATCTATCTATCTATCTATCTATTTAAAACATCCCAAATAAGATTTTTTATTTGTCACCATTAAATGTCTGAATTTTAAACAGATTCTTGGACTGGTGGTTCATATCCATCAGCTCGTTCAACTTTAGCACAACTTTAGCATCCCCAGTAGCTTTTCCAGAACTAGTACCTTCACCATGAAGCTCCATGAGCTTTCCCAATTCAAGCTTGGGCTTCTTCAGCATTTTTACTTTTCTAACAAAGACATCAGGGAGTGGATAAATAGACTGACAAGCCTTCTCTATGTCTTTTCTGATGCTGTCTGGAATCAATTTATTGACCACTTGTTTCAAGTCACTTGTCTGCAACTCTCGGGTCATGATTTCCATCATCTTTTTCCGAATTTGGCGGGCCTGTTGGTCCTGAGCATAAGAGGTCTTCTGAATCTGATTGTTGTGTTTTTTAGTAAAACCGACACAAAAGAGACGAAGCAAATACCCATTGGTAGTCCTGACATCAACGTGAGCTTCAATCATCAGTCTGCCATTTTTTGACCATGGAGCACATTTTGTCCCAGGTAAGATCCATGCCATGGAAATTAGTCAGGCAGTTTTTTCCCTGAACATCTTCAGTAATTAGCTTGAATTTCCTAAATGGAACTTCATCATTCTGCAGATCAGCAAGGCTCACTTCAAACACACGACCCTTAAGGCCATCAGATGTGATTTTGCTTCCTTGAGTTCTCATGACTAGTGTTTTTCCAATATTTCTTCTATTAAAGATTGCTGGTGCTTTTACATCATACCATTCTTTGAAAATGGATCAACCACTTTCTTCTTGGCTCTCTTTTTGCCACCTTCCATAAGACACTTGTTCTTGCCTACCGCCATGGCGCTGCTCAGGGAGCCAAAAGGGCAGAAGTCACAAATTATCCTTTTAATTACTAAGGGATTCAGGTCAATATCAACACCAACTTTAGCAGAATATAGCTTTTCTCCTTTTTGAAAACTGGGTTTGTTTTCCATCTTTGGTTCTGGGGCCTCAATCCTGCTATCCACCGCAATTTTTCAACAGTAAGTGGTTCAAGAATCTCACATGTGCTCTCTCAGGAAGTACCCCAAATCTATCCATTCACATTAAGAGACCTAAATTATTTCTATTCTTTTTCTAATGTTCTTCCCACCTACCTTGGGATTTGATTTCTCTTTTAGTGATGTTTGCTCCACTCTCTCCAATCTGAAAATCAATCTCCTTAAAAAGTCCTATCTTCTCTCATTAGCATCCAGTCCAGGCAGCAAGTCAGTGTTTTTCATACTCAGAATATTTTCCCAAATGTTCTTTTTGTTACTTTTAATATTTTGTTATTCTAACATCTTCTTGACACTAGACTGATTTTCGCTATACACTTCCTTCTTCCCATCTTTAATGCTTTCGTTTGAAAAGGAGCTTTTGTTGTTTTGTTTTTTTTTTTCCTTTTGAAAAGACAAGATATCTGATCTGGGTAACTAAAATCAGTATCTTAGATACAGTGCCCAAATTTTCACTTTTATTGTAATTGCTTATGTCTGTATAGTCAAAATTGTTTCTGAGAGCCTCCCAGCCACCAGAGCTATCTTTTTCTCTCAGAGTCTCAACCACAAGACCACACCAACAATACAGTATACATAAAATGTTTAATTTTTAAATTGAGATGCAATGAGATTACACATGAAGTAATAAGTGTGTTGGCTGACTTCACATTTTGCTATAATAGAGGTAAACAAGTTGATAAATAGTAATAAATCTTAAAAGTAAGATCCCATGCCAACTTTAATATAAGAACAATTTTTCCTAACTTTTCCTAAGTTAACTCACAGTTTCATTTGAAAATCAGAAAGTGAAATTGTTTAATTCAGGAAGGATTCATTTTGAGTGTCAGCATCATAACCAATTAAAATTTATTTCCATCTAGACTTTCTAAAAGGCATATTTTCAGTGTGAGATACTAATACATATAAACCAACTTTGATTACTGTCTTTTTACTTAAGAGCATTTTTCCATGTTCTTAAAAATTCTACCTAAAAATTTTCTACAGCTGCCCAGTATTCTATCACACAGTGTTATGGTTTAAATTTGGCCTCCAAAAGATATGCTGAAGTTCTAACCCCCAGTAACTCAGAATGTGACCTTATTTGGAAATAGGGTCTTTGAAGATGTAGCTAGTGACGTTAAGGTGAGGTCATCCAGGAGTAGGTGGACTGCCAATCTACTAGGACTAGAGTCCTCGTAAGAAGGCGGCCACATGAAGATACAGTGACAGAAGGAAAATGCCATGGGAAGATGGAAGCATGAAACAAAGTCAAGGAATGACTCAGACTGCTAACCATTACCAGGGGCTTGGAGAGTGGCATGGAACAGATTTTCCCTCACTGCTGAAGGAAAGAACCAACACTAATGACATCTTGATTTCAGACTTACTCTAAAACTGTGGGAGAGAAAATTCCGTTGCTCTAAGCCATCCAGTTTGTGGTACTTTGTTACAGCAACCAGAGGAAACTAATACACATGGTATATACACCATGAATTTTCTCAACCAATCCCCTATTAAGACATGTAGATAGTTTCCAACTTTTCCCCTATGAACAAAACTGCCAAGGATACTTTACACATTTTTTATTTGCCTTTTAAACTCCTTCCATGGAACACATTCCAAGTAGAATTACTATGTAAAAGCACATAAATATTTCAAGGTTTCGATGTGTTTTGTCAAAATAATTTCCAGAAAGTTCTATATTCTAGAGTATTTATGAATTTTTTTCTTCATTTTAATAAGCAAAGAAAAAAAGAGAGAAAGCAATATGCAATTTAAATTCATATTTCTATAATTACTAGTGAGAGTAAATTTTTTCATGGTATTAGTCATTTGAGAAACCTTATTTTTAAATTATATGTACTTACAGAAAACACCTTTCATTTGCATGGAAAAACACTAACCTCTCAACATGTATCAGGAGACAAAAATGAAGATGTATTTAAACTAATGTGAAATCTGAAATCTATAAAACCTAAGTCAGGGTAAGTCTTCCAGTTATAATAGCTGGAAGTATTTAAAAGAAATTTATTGCAATCAAGCAATTATTTCACAAAGCCAAAGCGGGGTAGGAGGAGGGACGATAAAAATACAGACATTCATTTTCCTTTCATACAAGAAAAACAATCTTCTTAGATATTGTTTATCTTGTACATACTTTAGTGATTAAGATTTTCTTTTTAGGGGTGCCTGGGTGGCTCAGTCAGTTAAGCGTCCAACTCTAGATTTCAGCTCAGGTCATGATCATGCAGTTTGGGAATTCAAGTCCCACATCTGGCTCTGCACTGGCAGTGTGGAGCAGCGTGGGATTCTCTCTCTCTCTCTCTCTCTCTCTCTCTCTGCCCCTCTCCAGCTCACCCTCTCACTCTCTTTCAAATTAAATAAACTTAAAAAAAAGAAAGATTTTCTTTTTAAATACATCTTAATATTGGGCACTGAAGTATCAAATATTTTTAAGGCTCAAAATTGTCTTTAAAAAGCAAGAGGTATATAATTTGCAATTTCCCCCCAAAAAACACTTTCTTATTCCAATTCTTTAAGTGGTTTATAGTGACAAATATGGAAAAAAAAACCCATAAAAAGAAATTCAAACAAAAACAGCCACTTACATTAGAGCCTTCCTTTGCTGAAGATTTGAAATGCACTGGTTTGGGCAATGTTAATATTCCTTTTATAGAAATAGTAGGAGTGTCTCCACAACTAGAAGGCCAACTTAAATCTTTGCACTAAAAAAATTAAAAGTACAGATTTTATGAAGGACTCTGACAATACAAATATTTGATGTATTTCTTGAGTTAATGACTTAAATACAAACTATAAAAGTAAACTAATCTACTGAGCTCTCATTTCATCTACATTGAAATAATTTGACATTTAATGTTCTAGACATCATATCAATCTCCTTCTTGAGGTTAAAACCATAATTCCATCATACCTACAGATTTATTTTCTTTAGTCTTTATTAAATACAGTTTTATGCAAAATGTTACAGAATCCTAAATTCCAAAGAAAGTATTGTCCCATTCCCCAGAGAGAGAAACAGTAGATGCTTATAGTGAAAATATTCAGTTTTGTAAGCAAAGTTGGTATTAACTAAGTTAACTTACCTGTAAAACTGTGATCCAGATCTGCTCTACTGAAGAATTATAAAACACTTTCACATTCAATCTCCCAAAATCTCTTTCATCTCCTGACAGAGTAATTGTATCTGAATTGTAAAAGGACAGGGACATTTGAAATGTTATGCAATCCTTCTAATCCAATCATGCTTTGATACAATCCAATTTTTTTAATGTTTTTATTTATTATTGAGACAGAGAGAGGCAGAACATGAGCAGGGGAAGGGCAGACAGAGAAGGAGACACAGAATCCGAAGTAAGCTCCAGGCTCCGAGCTATCAGCACAGAGCCCGACACAAGGCTCAAACTCACGGACCACGAGATCATGACCTGAGCTGAAGTCGGGTGCTCAACCGACTGAGCCACCCAGGCGCCCCAATACAATCCAATTTTAAGAGTACAACTGAAAAATGGCAAAATTACTCTTTTAAGTTGCCACTTTAATAAGACAAAAATGACACATCAACGTTTTATAGCAGGGGAAGGCCTGCTGTAAAAAGTGCCTGGCTTAAGAACTTAACCCAAGTATAGCGTGAGAGATTTAAGTTAAAACTAAGATAAACTTTCCCACAAAACAATGATATGGCTTTAATCCTATATGCTGCCGGAAGTTCCTTCACTAGTATACTTTATATCAAACAAACAAGAGGTGTGCAACTGCTATGCCTTTTTTAAAGATGCATTCATGCCCGAACACAAGAAGTGGGCCATCTAATCTGAGTATTCATATGCCGGTAACATGGATATAACCATCTAGAGTTGTCCTTTTTTACTTTATCAAATATATGTTCAAATTACGACTCGGTAGAATTCATTCCCCTCAGAATATAAAAAGAAGGTACTTTACTCCTTACCCAGGCTTCTGTTACTCCCCTGGGAGTTCTTCCTGGAAGAAGAGCTGCTAGGCACACTGGACAGGGAATCATGTCTCTACAGATAAAATTGGTCTCTAGTCAGATGTCACACAGCAAAGTTCAACGATCTGAAACTTATGCCCCAACTTCCCCACACCCCCAGCATCAAACTGCATGCTAACCATCAACAGTGTCACTGGTCAGATAGTAGAGAGGAAGAAAAGCTTTGTGTGTGTGTTAACAGGAAAGTCTTAAAGAGCTTACTAGATCATACATGGGGAAAGCCTTTGCTGTCTGGGGTTTGGTTTTATAATAAGGAGGAAGAGATCACCGTTTGCGTTCATACTTGAAAGTACAAGTAAAAATAAGAATATATCTGGAAGTGCCCTGTTACTTAAAAACTTGCAAGGTAGTGGTTATGAAAGCACAGTCCCTCTGAACCACCAACATCAACATCATCCAGGAATTTGTTAGCAATACAAACTCCGGCCCCAGTGCAGGGCTACTCAAAAGCTCTGGGGGTGAGGCCTGGCAATCTGTATTTTAACAAGTTCTCCAACCAATTCTGATACACATTAAAAAGTTGATGCTATGAAGAATTAATTCTGTAAAATATTAACTCCACTGAGGATGCTAAGGATTATTTAGAATACACTTCCATTTGAATAAAATGTATGCATATACATTTACATGGAAAAAAGCCCGCAAGTATAGGCAACAATATTTTCATAGCGCTTTTATTCTCAGTTACAGGAATATAGGTGATTTGTCTTTTCACTTTGCTTAACTCTATCTTCCAGTTTTTAATGATTACAATTTACTTATATTTTTAGAAGAAACTTTTTTAAACATCGAAAAGTTATTCCATTTAAAAAATAGGAGGATGCTGTGTTAATGTTAATTAGGCCCTATGTCTGAATAGAAATAGTATTTTTTATTTACTAGGTAGTTACGATCAACAAGGAAGGTTAAATGAATAAGCACTTTGAACCAGACCATTTTAAATTCCAACTGCCTTCAAGACTGCCTGAGTGTACACCAAGAGATGTAAGATTCATTAAAAAGAAAACAAAAAAACTACTGCCTTTTACCGTTCAGCTGAGAGCTTCCTGAAATAATATACACGGGAAATGCCAAGTGTTAACTCTTCAGATATTACCATAGATTTATCTACAAAAGATTTATACATGTTGTTTCTAATGTAATTCACACATTTCTGAGTTTTTAGCTTGAAAATAAATTATCGTATACATTTATATAAGTAATTCACCTGGATGAACCGCTGGGATGAACTTGTAAGATCAAACATAGACTTGCTTAGCCCAGGGGAACTGGGAAGTTTGCTGGTCCTTAAATCACAAACTACGAATGGACATGGAAAAATGTCTTTACATTAAAGAAGAAACATTGGAATTTTACTTATCCACCATGAACTAAATCTCTGTTTAGTTCTATCTATCATGAATATTAATGCAATTGATTTAAGAGATAATAGTCTTCTCGGGGCACCTGGGTGGCTCAGTCGGTTAGGCATCTGATTCTTGATTTTGGCTCAGGTCACGATCTCATAGTTCCTGAGATGGAGCCTCAAGTTGGGCTCTGCACTGACAGCACAGAGCCTGCTAGGATTCTCTCTCTCCCTCTCTCTCTGCCCCTCCCCCACATGCGTGCACACACCCGCTCTCTCTCTCTCTCAAAATAAACATGAGAAAAAAAACAAAAAACCTCTTCTAATAAAATTTTAAACTTTTTACAATTATTTTACTTTTGTTCCAAACAGAAACCAATATAAATCAAACAATACATTTTCACATCCACATCAACTATCAAGCAGGAAATATTCATTCTTTTTGCTTCATTACTCAATTCTATATCCCATAGGAATGATATAAGAGAACATAGGTCCTCTGTGCTAAATGCAATTCAACTATTTAATGAGTACTTATTACATTAAAAAAAAATACTGAATTCCATGTGCTCCTATATTTCTAGTCTATATTTCTAGCTTGTCTCCTAAATTAGGAGATTCTTAAAGAATGGAACTCTGTATACTGTGTATTCTAACACAGTGCTGAAATAAGTATTTAAATAAATACTTCTGCTTTGTTTCCAGTACCTCACCCTGAATTCAGTTGTTGAGGTAGCTATATATAACATTAAAGTCTTGAAAAACAGGATTTTATGAATCAGATATGTACATTTATACCAGTCTAAAATTGATACAGTCCTCAAATATTAAACCGAGAAAATTCTATAATCATTTAGGCACTTTGTTTTTTTTAATTTTTTAACATTTATTTATTTTTGAGAGAGAGTGAGTGAGCAGGAGAGGGGCAGAGAGAGGGAGACATAGAATCTGAAGCAGGCTCCAGGCTCTGAGCTGTCAGCACAAAGACCGACGTGGGACTCGAACTCACAAACCATGAGATCATGACCTGAGCCGAAGTCAGATGCTTAACCGGCTGAGCCACCCAGGCACTCCTTATTTGGGCATTTTCTATTTTCTTTCTTTACATTTGTCATCTCATCATGAGTTTGTAAATTTATCATTTTCACTGAACAGAGCAGGAAAGAAAAAGCTAATAAATACCTGTTGTAGAATTTCTGAATAGGCAGATGATGTATAAAATACAGAAATAATCTGAAAATGAAACTTTTCAGAAAAGGACAAAGAAAATGGAACTTGGAACTCTCAATACACATAATTCATTAATCTTTCAATTTTTACATCAGATAGAATACCACAGAGAAGCCATATTGTTTTTCATATCACTTCTGAAGCCTTGCTTTTCTCTATCTTATTTTTTGTTCTTCATCATGAGAATCATCTCTTCCAGCGTCTTAGACTTTATTTGATTTCTACATTTCTACATTTGATTTCTACATTTATTTGATTTCTACATTTATTTGATTCCTACATTTTACAAAGAAAAAACACAAAAAATTTTCATACCTGATCCATATAGTCTCGCTGCTTCTGAACGTGGAGGAAGGCGCCGGATCAAATCAGGTGAAATGTGCTGATACCTATAGCATGGGTTGTATACATCGTAGCTGGCTCCGTGCTGGGATGAACTGGAAAGTTCTACCTTTCGATCTCCAAAAGATGCTCTGGCAGATCCTGAAAGTAAGTGTTTCTACAGTTTTACCCTTTTCTTGAAGTTATTAACTAACAGCTGGCTTATCCAACGCAAGAGGAAGAAAAAAATTTTCCTCAAGTAACACTAAATCACATGTGCTTGAGATATAAAATAGAAATCCGCACATGTTTATTTACTGTGCTCTGCATGGAGCATCCTGCCAGGGATCAGCCATGAAACCTGCTCTCAAGACAGTCTGGTAATTTCTCTCTTGTGCTGCGGCATTTCTCTTTGCCCTATACACAATCCTGTATTTTCCTGTATTTTTTTAATCTGAGTTTCCCTTTTCTTTTCTTTTTTTTTTTTTACGTTTGTTGATTTTTGAGAGACAGAGCGTGAGTGGGGGAGGGGCAGAGAGAGAGGGAAACACAGAATCCAAAGCAGGCTCCAGGCTCCCAGCTGTCAGCACAGAGCCTGACGCGGGGCTCGAACCCACGAACCGTGAAATCATGAGCTGAGCCTAAGTTGGACACTCGATCAACTGAGCCATCCAGGCATCCCTGAGTTTCCTTTTATTTTTCTACTTGCATAAAGAACATCTTTCAAGTAAAAAGAAGATCGTTTTTTGATGAAGACACAAAACATTTATAAAAACTGACCACATGCTGAGATACGCAGAGCAATTCTTTGGAAGGGCAGAAATCACAGAGTGTGCTCTCTAACCACGATATAATAAAGTTAGAAATCAACAAAAAGATTATTAGAAAATATTTACATGGAAACACAAAGGGCCTAGGATAACCAAACAAAAACAAACAAAAAAACAAAATCCACTTTAAGAAGTAAAACAAGATGGAAAGATCTGTGCTACTGAGTTTTAAGAACAGAACACTGGTACACAATAAAATAAGACTGAACAGAACAGAGGACCAGAAAGAGACACTTTTTTATGGACATTAGATTTACAATCAATGCAGCACTGGATAAGAATGCAGAAAGAACAGTCTTTTCACTAAAAGGTGCTAAGACAATTGGATATTGATACAGAAGAAAAAAACAACCTTATCCCAACTAAAAGAAATTCATAAAATATTAATTGCATGTGGATTGCGGATCTAAATTAAATGCTAAAGGCAAACCAATAAAACGTCTACATTTCAGTCAATTTAAATTTTTTTTTTTCAACGTTTATTTATTTTTGGGACAGAGAGAGACAGAGCATGAACGGGGGAGGGGCAGAGAGAGAGGGAGACACAGAATCGGAAACAGGCTCCAGGCTCTGAGCCGTCAGCCCAGAGCCTGACGCGGGGCTCGAACTCACGGACCGCGAGATCGTGACCTGGCTGAAGTCGGACGCTTAACCGACTGCGCCACCCAGGCGCCCCTACATTTCAGTCAATTTATAAGAAAGTTTGCACAGCCTTAGGGCAGGCAAGAACTTCTTAAATGCAACACAGCAGTATTATAAAAAACATTTTTTAATAAACTGGACTACGTTAAAAATTGAAATTTTCCATTTTTTGAGACCATTGAAGAGAGTGAAATGGTCACCCATAGAGTGGGAAAAGTTATGTGCAACACATATAACCAACAAAGGGCTTATATCCAGAATGTATAAGGAACTCCCACAAGTCAATAAGAAAAAGGCAAGCCCAAACAGAAATTGGCTGCAAGCCTCAAGCAGGCACTTCAGAAGAGAAGCCATCCAAATAGCCAAAACCATAAGTGAGTGCTCGATTTCATTAGTCATGGGGTAGACACACAAATGAAAACTCCAGTGAGATTCCACTACAAACTCACCGGCATGTGTTACAACTAAAAAGCCTGATAAAAGCAAGCGCTGACAAGATCGCACTCCTGCCGGAGGAAATATAAACGGAGGCAATCACTATGGAAAACAGTTTGGCAATTTCCACCAAGACTGAGGGAGACGTATGCCCTATGAAATGGCAGTGCCATTTGGGGACATACACACCACTGAAATGCCCGCACATGTGCACCAACAGACGAGTACAATAACGCTCAGAGGCATTATTATCCGTCATGGCCAAAAACTGGAAAAAACTCAAATGCCCATTAACAGTAAAATGAACAGTAGTCTATAAAGACTACATAAAAAGACCTTTTGTATGCTATGCAGAAACACTATACCACGCCATTTATAATAAATGAAAATAAATGTATTTTCTGTACAGATACTAAAACTGAAGCTACTGACAACAATTTGAGTGAAGCTCACAAAAATAATGCTGAATGAAAGGACCTATCATAAACAAAAGACTATATGTGGGTTGCTGCCAGTGCGTATTTGTTTACTCGAGTGGTGACCATACACGTGTCCTGCATTGGAGTAAATCACTGAGTTACATATTTCTGTTGTTCCTTTTTTGTACATGTGCATATTTCACAATTTAAAAAGGGTAAAACAATAGATCAAGTTCCTTTCAAAGTTAAGAATCACACTGGAAATAACACAGAGGCATAAAGTTTTTAAGAGTTTAAATTATTGCCATCTTTTCATTCTTTTTGTCCCATTTAAAATAGAACCCAGAGTATAAACCAATATTTTCTGAATTGAGCTAAACAATAAAACAGGTGGCTTCACACTGAGTTCAGAAAAGAAAAATAAAATATGGGGTTATGAGGTGAGATCTTATCCTCACCCCAGTTCAAATAGCTATGTGTGCAATCCAAGCATAATACATAGGCAGAGGGGCGCCAAGAGGGGGTTCTGATGCCAGAGAGCTTTGTTAAGGAGCCTGTGCACCTTATAAGCTAACCCTTAAATCATTCAGCACACAAACACTGCTACAAGTCTGTTTATGGTAACAAGAATATGCTGTCAGGAGTAGTAGTACCAAAAATGACTCACTACCTTTATGGGCTATACCTAAAAAAGAATATTCTGATTTCATTTTTCCTTTACAGAATTCCAATTTTCCTCTCAAACAGTATACAGTGATATTATTTTTAAAGCTCAAAAGGAATGTTTCTCAATTTACAGAACCACAGTGCTATAAATATAAAACTAAATTCAAAGTAACATTTACTTTACACCTCTCAAAAGCTCTATTTAAAATTTCAATATTTATTCAAAACACATTCTCTTAATGGATAGGTAGATATGAGATAGAGCAAGCGCAGTAAGATGTGAACGATGGGATCTCTGGGCTACAAAGCAGTAACCTATGGCTGTCATCAGACACATCAGTAAGTAAGAAATGAAACAAAACACATTTCGAATACTTGAAACATAATTTTAGTCATTACTGACAGTGCTCTGTCCTGTTTTCTTCTCAAAATTTCCTTGTCAACCCATCATTCACTGGCACATACACATACAACCTGCGCATGTCTGATTTCTATAATTAGGCACCAAGAATACTTTCTTGACTCTAATGATTTTCTCTCCAATATAATTAAAATCAGATGGCTTTACCACATCTTCACTGAGCCTATAATTTAAGTGTAAACCAATTTCCCACTCATTCAAACCAAAAAGCAATCTGTTTTCTAGTGATTTAATGAAAAAACAAAAGAAAAATTATCACATATTGCTAGGTAGGTATTTCTCATTTTTATTATGAAAATAATACATAAAATACCCTAAATGTTTTAAGAAGACAAAATTTATTAAACAAATTATGGGACATCTATAGATTTCATACTATGGGGCCATTAAAAAGCAATGAGTATGAAAACATGTTCACAACGTGTGACAGGAATAAAACAGATTACAAAACTGTTGTATGGCTTAATCTCAATGCTGTTAACAAGCACAAGAAAAGGAGAAAGACCAATTATCAAGGTATCCTGTGACACAAAGCTTTTAAACACTGTTTGTGAGAGATACTACTGATATGTGTAAAACAAGGTGGTGGGCCAGGCACACGGTTCCTCTTTCCTTGTTTCTCTAAAAGAAAAAAAGAAAGGATGGAAGGAAGGAAGGAAGGAAGGAAGGAAGGAAGGAAGGAAGGAAGGAAGGAAGGAAGGAAGGAAAAAACGAAGGAACGAAGGAAGGAAAAAAGATCACTCCTACCAAACCCAACTCTCCTATAGATAACAACAGTACACTGTAGACCAAAACCAAAATGAACAAAAACCCTGAAGGGACTGGACAGTAATCAAAAGCAGTGCAGATTCTGGAGAGCACTGACTCTTGGAAGAAAGGGAACAGGGCCGCCTGTTTTAATGACTATTAGCCTGAGGGCAAGCCAAAGTTGGTGCTGCACAGGGCGGATAAACTCCAACAGAAAAATCCACTCTTTCTGGCCTGAAGAACCAGAGGGCGGAGTTCAGAGCAACCAGAGCTGCTAGAAAGCAAGGTGGGAATCTTGGAAAGGAGAAAGCTCCAAATTCTGTGAATACAGTCTGCTCAAATATCTGGCTGATCCCTGAGCCACACATATATGGGACGGACCCCAACTAAGGATACATGGGGCGCCTGGGTGGCTCGGTCAGTTGAGCATCTGACTTTGGCTCAAGTCATGATCTTGCATTCGTGGGTTCAAGCCCCACGTCGGGCTCTGTACTGACAACTCAGAGCCTGAAGCCTGCTTCTGATTCTGTCTCCCTCTCTCTCTCTGCCCTTCCCCTGCTCATTCTGGCTCTGCCTCTCAAAAAATAAAATAAAACATTAAAAAACAAAAATTTAACAATTTAAGAAAAGACACAAAAACTAAGCTAAG